ATATATATATATAATTCATTGTTTATTTTATTATTATATAATTTTTATTATATTATATAATAAAATAATGTATTTGTTATTGTTTAATTTTAGTTGAAAGCTGAAAGGGAGGAACAATATAAGCCTAAACCGGTTATTACAATAATTGATGAAGAAGATGAAAAAGTAGTGAAAAAAGAAAAGGAAGTTATGCCACCTATAGAAACTGAACCAATTGAAAGTGATAGTGACGAATGTGTGCAATTTGATGATGCTTCCCAATCAGAAGTACCATCTAGAACACCACCTAGACATCATCATCATCATCGAAGACATCATCGTCATCATCAAAATCATCATCGTGATGGGGAAGAAAACGAAGAAGTTGTAGAAACGGATAGAGAGAGTGTAAAGGGTACGAGATCGTCACCTTCGCATCAAACAGTAACAACACCAGTTCAATCCATTCCACCCACGTTAGACGAAGATTCACGTATGTCTCTTGTTAGTGAACCAGAAAAAACGGGTAGTAGTGAGTAAATAATATAATTTTTTAATTTATAAGAAAATATATATTTTTTTTGTGTATCACATTTATATTGCTACAGGTAATTTTATACCATTTGCCATGGGAAGCGGAGGAAATCGTGGTGGTGATCATGGAATTGGTAATAAAACTCCTGCTAGTCCAAGTACAGCTGTTAATGTTAGTTCACAACAAATAAATCAGAATAAAAAGAAAGGTCGAATTGACGTTAAAGATGTATTTAATAATGACGATGATGATGATGGTGCTAATAATGCAAAGAAACGTAAACTAGTTCCTTTAGGTAACATATAAGATAGTAGATAAATTATTAATTTATTTTTTATTTAAATAATTTTTTATATAATTTTATACGATTTTTTTATACAAATTATATTTTAGATTACGGCGAAGAAAAAAAGAAAAAATCTAATGAAGAAGCTCCTAAAGCTGGAAAAGAAGAAAGTACAAAAAGTCAAGAAGAGAAACGAAAACACATAAAATCCCTTATTGATAAAATACCTACAGATAAAAATGCTTTATTTGGATATCAACTTGATTGGGCAGTAATAGATAATGTAAGATATATTTTTAATATTTTTAAGAATGTGTTTTATTATTTTTATATAATATTATAAATAAATAAAATATGTTAAGTTTTTTTATTTTTATAGACATTAATGGAAAAAAGGATAAGGCCGTGGATTAATAAAAAAATTATTGAATATATTGGAGAACCTGAACCTACATTAGTAGATTTTATTTGTAGTAAAGTAATGGCTGGCAGTTCTCCTCAGGGCATACTTGATGATGTACAGATGGTAAATGATTTTTGTTCTGTCAAATGTAAAATATTAATTTATTGATTTTATTACGATATATATTATAGGTATTGGATGAAGAAGCAGAAGTTTTTGTAGTGAAAATGTGGAGGTTATTAATTTACGAAGTTGAAGCTAAAAAAATGGGCTTAGTTAAATAAATGAAATATCAATTAAAGTACTAAACTCGACTTGAAAATTTATACTACACATCAAACTCCTTTGGTTAAAATGTACTATTTAGATTATATATCCTAATATACAATTACTTATGTATAATTTGTAGGATTTTTCGCTAGATGAAAAACAAGGTGTTGCTGATTGATAGGTAAACTAAATGTGTAGCAATTGAAATGTTAAATACAAATTGTAATTACGATTTATAATATTTGAGTTGTGTTTTTCTAAATTTGCTTATCCATAGTTTTATAAAGAAACCTTTTATTAATATGTTCATAAATAATAGATTTTTTTTAGATATTTCAGAATTTTAGATATTTCAAAAAAAGCTTAATAGATATAAATTTTATTAGATAATTATAAAATCCTATAAATCATAAATGTTCCTACAAATTGCAAAGCAGTTTAATTTGTACATGGATATGGTAAAAATAATTATTTTTCTTAAGACATTTGTAATCTTTTTAAGTTAATATACTAATGTTTTACATTGAGTTAGTTTAATAAGATAGTTATTAAAAATATTATTATACATTTTCTATTCAATGAAAAACACGATATTTAAAAAAAGGAACTATTTTTACGGTAATATAATTAATGAAAAGTTATAAATTAATAGTAATACAAGAAAGTATGTGTATGAAATACATTTTTTTATAAGAGAGGTAAGTAGGAATTAGTAAAAGATTTAAAAAAATCTATTGAAAAAGATAAGATAGTGATTCAAATATATTATGCTATTAATGTATTAATTAAATAATAAATACATAATAATAATAATAATAATAATAATAATATATGTTGTTATATTCTTATATATTCTGAATATTTTTAATTTGATGTAATAATTTTTTTTATTCAATTTTAATTATAGTATTTAATAATATGTAAAAATATGAATTTCAGTATCTCATATTTTGTGATATAATTTTATGAAAAATTCACATAATTTGAATAAAATTTGAATAAAATAAATATACCTTCCATTTTTTTTTTATAATTTTTTTAAATTTTTCGTTAATGTTAATTTATTTTAGCTTATCAACGTTAATACTTTAAGTTAACAATTTAACTTGTTTTTTCATGTAATAGTTTTCAATATTGTTACAATAAGTTCTAAAATATTATTTATTTATGCATTTATATATATTAAATGTTAATTATAAATAAGAATAGTATTTTCAGATCTTGTTATATTTTTTATAATTAATTATATAATTAATTATTATTCATTCGAAAACATTAAACTTTTTTTTTTCTTATAAAATATTCACAATTTGCAAGATTCGAATCGATATCAGATTCAAGATTAATACCAGAACTATCGATCCTAAATATATTATAAATATATTATAAATAAACAATTAAAAAGAAAGCATATTTATAAAATTTCATTAAGATCTTGCAATGCATAATTTTCTTATACATCTAACAATGTATAATTTTCTTATGAATATATTAATTTTGATTAAAATCTTAATTTCAAAATATTTGATGCTCTCAGCTATCAAAGAAAGAACAAACACAATTTCAAATGATTTCTAAGATTATTTCA